AGCTACACCTGTCCTGGTCTGCTACCTCCCCCTGTCACTGCTGCAACTATTACTACTGCAGAACCAGACTCTGCTACTGACCCAGGATCCACAAAAAGCGCTGAATGTAAAGTTCTTTCTCAAACCTTCACATAAACTCAAGTTTCCATTATATTATCCAACCCACATATATTATTATGTTCTGTCGATAATTTAAGACACTTTTTTAACCAAGGTTCGTCATGTCATTTTTAATTAAGTGTCTATAATTGTTATGATTATATTGTATACCTTTTTAACTGGAGACCCTACATATGAAAAGTGTTGTCTCTTTAAAATAATATGTTTAAACAAGTGAATGAGACAAAATGTTATGTGTCTATAGCCCTACCGCCAACCTTACCAAAGACAAGCCAAGTATTGCAAAAAAAATTGTAACCTGTCTTGTATTTCAGACACTTCTGAAGAGCTTTTGTCGTTGCCTGAACAGCCGTGCTTCCGGGGACAGTGATCGTGTACCTGGAGGGATGTGGCCCTGGATGGTTAGTCTCTACAAAAATGGGGTCTACACATGTGGAGGAACCCTGATATCTAAAAACTTTATCCTCACTTCTGCCCAGTGCTTCTCCACGTAAGTATAAAAGCATTTTTTGGTTTATAAAAGTTTCATTTAGCAGTGAAATAATGCAATATGTTGCTCTTCATCCTCCTGACAGCTCAAATCCAGATAAGCGAGAGTGGAGAGTGTTGCTGGGCCCGCGCCTAGTGAATGGAAATGAGGAGTTTGTGATGACTCGGGGCGTTAAGAAAATTATTCTGAGCAAATTTACGGGCCCCAATATTGCTCTGCTGAAGCTGACTAAGCGAGCCAGCACAGGAGATTTTATCCAGCCTGTGTGTATGGACGTTAGCAAAGCCCGAAGCTTCCCTGTTGGAACTCAATGCTGGGTGGCAGGCTGGGATAAGGGCATCAAGAGCGGAGGTAAGCTTCTATCATACTTTTTTGCTCACTTAATCTGTATTATTCAGTAGATCTTAATCTTCATCAATACATTCATTTTTTCAGCCACTCAAAAAGCCGGTTTAGGTCTTCGGGATATAGAAACTCAAGTGGCAAGCTGTGGGACTGGGTCTGGTTCTGACAACATTTGCACTTATGCCATGAACCTTCAACAGGTAAATAGAGTTTTCAAATTTAGCAATCAGTTTTCCTTGTAATTGGACAGATGTTTTCAGTAACCCACTGATGATGATTCCTGTTTGTTTTTTTGCAGGGGGATCATGGCGGCCCTCTGCTCTGCAAGTCAGACTCCTCTTGGTTCCAGGTTGCCGTTGTATCTATGAGTGGAAATAAATCAGTCCGTGCTGATCCGCAGGTCTTTGCCAAAGCTTCAAGATTCAGCTCTTTCTTAAAGGAGACAGTTGGGGACATGCCGTCTCCAGCAACAGGAAATGCAGCAAGTTTCTCAATTTCATTAGTCCTCTCTTTCGCTATCCCATTTACCTCACTGTTTCTGGTGTCAGGATGTTAGTACTGTTGTGAAGTAGTTCATTGTTGCACTTAAAAGTTGAACAAATCATTCAAAGCCCCCATTCTGAGGCACGGCTAAAATGCATGATCTGTTTGGTATTTTGAAAACAGAAACGTATAAATATACCTGATATAGGTATGGCCCTACAATATATCATTTAAATATAGCAGGATAGGTGTCCTTTAAGATACTAAGGTCACTTGTCCAAATAAGTTAATATATTTATAACAACAAATATATTTTATCGTAGTATGATACAGGGAAATGTATTTTTTATAACGTACCTCTCTGAATCCAGTTAAATGAATGACAACTTAGAAGTTCTAATATATTCTATATGCCGTTCTACCGCTTGTGTCTTTCTACATAAAAAATGTGGTGATGGGTCATGTGTGAGTTTACTAAAATGTTAAGACAAATAAAAAGTCATTTTAATCACATGCATAATAAATACTGATGAAGCATAACAAATGTCTCTTTGTATAACATACTTCGATCAATATTGCAGTTTCAATGTCAGCAGTTTAACAGTACAATATATGATGAACAACAGAATCCAGGGGATCATAATGTTCAACATTAACAACAGCACAGCTTGCAGAAATATAAAAGGAATGTTTCATTTAAAGGACTTTTTGGATAACACAAATCTCATTTTGTAAAGCCTCTTGTCACATTACATCACATGGCTGTACAGTGCACTAAATTCCACCCCGCCATTCAATTTAATCATTGCATGACTATGACCTTTTTTATGTGGTTTTCACCCCTTAATAAGAACCGATGTCTACTTGTAATTGTCACATGGTGCATGTTAATATATCAGGGACCTTTGCTAATTCAACTGTTACAATTGAATCGTGTAAGATTTTTTTAACTATATATACTTACAATTACCTCCTAAGTCTGATAATCATCAGAATGGTATGACGGATATTTCTTCCATAAAAAACATTTACATTACAGATAATACCAAAAAGTTAAAAAATAAAGCCCAACTTTGAGTTATGGTAACAGATAAACTCACATATACATAAATACATATCCTGTCTGACTGCAATAATCCTGTCTGACTGCAATAAAATCCTGGATGCAACACAACTTCCTCAAACTCAACAGTAATAAAAACTGAACTCCTCCTCATCGGCTCCAAATCCACCCTCAGCAAAACCCCCAACCTGACACTCACCATCGATGGCACCCCTGTTTCCCCCTCCACCCAGGCACGCAACCTTGGTGTGATATTCGACCCCACCCTCTCCCTCGACCCCCACATCCGCCAAGTTGTAAAAACCTCATTTTTCCACCTCCGCAATATCGCCAAACTCCGTCCCTCTCTCACCCGCCCCGCAGCTGAGCGACTCATTCACGCCTTCATCTCCTCCCGCCTTGACTATTGCAACTCACTCCTCTTCGGCATCAGCACAACATCCCTCAACAGACTCCAGCGTGTCCAGAACGCAGCCGCCAGACTCCTCACCCACACCAAATCATGGCATCACATCACCCCGGTCCTCAAAGAACTCCACTGGCTTCCCGTCTCACACCGCATTCACTACAAACTCCTGGTCCTCACCTATAAAGCCCTCCACCATCTGGCCCCCCCCTACCTCACTGACCTCCTCATCCTCTACCAACCACCCCGGTCCCTCAGATCCACCTCAGCCGGTTTGCTCTCAATCCCCAAGGCCAAACTCCGGAGCTTCGGGGACAGAGCCTTCTCTGTGGCAGCCCCGAAGCTCTGGAACTCCCTCCCCCAAGACCTCCGTGAGTCTGATTCCCTCACCCTGTTCCAGTCCCGTCTCAAAACCCACCTCTTCAACTCTGCTTATCCTTAAACCCGCCCCTCCCCCCTCTGAACCAACATCCTCCTGACTGCTTATTATTATTATGTTGAGAGCTGATAAAATAATTGGTAAAGAAAGTCTTAATGTAGATTTAAAAAAGTGTACTTTGTCCCGCCTCATTTTTAACACATTTTATAAGCTGTGGTCAGTACTCGTGGGTTATCCGTCCCCACTTTTGAATAGCGGGAATGAACGTTTTCATCCCTCAAAATAAAACAACATGAAGTCTGAAGAAAACCCACAAGTACCTTTTTCCTTCTATTTAAATATGGACATCTTCTCTCATCA